AGAAAACATTTTTCTCTGTCGAGGATTTTTTTTTGCTTTTTGCCATGTTTTATTTCAATTTTTCTTTAAATATAAAGTTACTCTTTGAGTTTTAGAATAATCGTATTAAGAATAATCGTTTTAGCAGGGTTCTAATGTATTCAAAAGTTATAAAATAACGATAAAAAAATAATTTCGATTAAAAACCTTTTTTTGAGTTTTTTTTTTTTTGCTAAATGAGTATGTATTTGTGAAGTTCTATATTCTCATTGTTCTATTTGTTAATTTTTTTCTAATCTAAATTTTACTCATCGAATTTCAGAAAAATCGTCTTGACAGGGTTCTAATGTATTTCATAGGTGAAAAAAGTTAAAAAAACGAAAAAAGTTAATTTTAAAAAGACAATTTTTGTTCTGAGTGAAACTTACTAATAACTGATCATGTTTTAGCCGAAGTTTATGTTCTCATTGTTGCATTTTTCAACTTTTCTTCATTCAAATATAAATTTACTATTCGAATTTCAGATTAATCGTATCAAGGTATAATCGTCTTAACCAGGTTATACTAAATTTTGTTCGTGAAAAAATAATAAAAAGATTTTCTTTTAAAAAACTATTTTCTTCTGAGTGGACGTTTTATCAAAATGAGGAAGTTTTTGTCATGTTTTATTTCTTAATTTTTTCTGTATTAGGCATTACCGTCTTAATAGAGTTTAACTATATTTAATAAAATTGAAATAAAATAATCTAAAAGAATGTTTTAAAACTAGAAATTAGTGTGAAATCAACCCTAAAAAATGAGCCATAATTTTGTTTGTTGTTATAATTCATAATTTGAATAAGCAATTTTTTTCATGAACTTTCTATCGAAACGGAAATTTTTCAATAATATTTTTACTGTTATTTACACTTTATAGATTATTTACTACGGTTCACACTTTCGAATGTATTTCTTTACCATTGTAATTATTTGTATATATAGAAGATTAAAAATGTTAAAAGATTGAAAAAATAAGCAAACTGTTTTCTCCTTAAAGCTAACATAATATTCGAGAATTGAAAAATATTTCTCATACCTGTATTTTGAGCTTTCTGAGGCTTCTGTGCTTCTAAGTTCTGATACCCCCTTAGATCAACTTGATACCAAGCAGTAGTGATATCAGTTTTCACTTGAAATTGTATTTCTTAAACATGATCACAAGTGCAACCTTTCAGGACATTTCTGCAAAATATCACATCACTATTAGGAAAAAATCTAATAATAATTTCAATAGAAAAATAATGATCAACCATTAGGTTGCTTTCTAATAATCCTAGGCTAGGGCAAACATGATAATAGTTCAGATAGCTGCTAAAATATAAAACATATCTATAAATTTCAACTTTTCAAAAAAGACGTTTTGAATTGTCTATGATCTGAATAGTTTTTCAGAATATTTGGTTTATTAAACATTTAGATTAGAGTATTTGAAAATAGAAACGTGATATGCATCTATACAATACATATGTTAACATAACAAACACATCAGCTCTTCTACAAACATTGGGTTAGTAGTAAGTCATACAAATTCTCGAAAAAGTTAACTAGGTTACCTTAGCAAACATCAAGAAGTTATTTGTTTGTAATGATAAAACGTTGCTGTATTATTTACTATGCATTATGTAAATAATAAGATCGTGAATTGCGTTAAGTCGGTCAATTATATTTTTTTAAATATTAAAGTAATTGTTTACTAAGTTCTTAATCGGATAAGGCAAATGCAACAGCTTTTCCAATTCTACCAGTAAGGGTATATTAACTAAATAGGTAAAATCTTACCACACTAATTCATATAAATCTAATATCATATCACACGTATCGATATAATATCATCTACCCCCTATGAGTATATCGGAAAAATATTTAAATAATGTCATGAAGTTTCTAATCGAAATATCATCCCAGCTTGCATATTTTAGTGTCGTTTTAAATTATTTCCACTAGTGATGCTACAACATGCAGTCACTATTGAAAATTTTCCTCCCAAGATTTCCATTATAGTTAGATAGAGTCAAAAATCGAGGTCGCGGTAATTTCAGATGTGATTAATTTTAAATTTTGCAACAATGTCTTTTACGGAATTCTAATGATGAATCCGTCCTTGTGGAAAGTAGCAATTTCGCACGATTCTATCAAATGACATAAAAAAACAATAAAAACACTAAAGCACATGTTATTGATGTCATTGTCGTTGATACCGCTAGATTTGTCAAAGTGATTTCAACTTAAATCGCGTGCTTGTAATTTGCATAGATTTAATAAAAATTTGTCTTTTATAAATGGCAATCAGTCTTCTCTAACTCATTATAGAAACAGAGTTTTTAATAAATACATGCATATGCATGCTTATAAATATTTTATTGTTATCAAATATATTTTCCAAGAACACACATGTCGTTGTCAGACAGCTTGACCCAATATTAGTTTAATAAATATAAAATTTGTAACAAAACCATTAAGAAAATAATTATTTCATTTTTAAAAAAATGATAAACTTTACTCGAGCAAAATTTGATAAGATGGGGGAAGTGATTGTAGCGCTATGATTAAATTCTGCTCTTCTAAATATTGTTCAAACACTGTGACTCTATTAATATTAAAATTTATGTTTAAAAGAGGTAGCCACTAACTAAGCTTACTTAGTGTTAATTTAAAATCAATAACATAAATTCAAATTTGAATATGAGTTTGATGTTATGTTATATAATCAACCGTCTTCTTGTTCTAATTTGAACTCATAAAAAAATATATTCAGCATAACCACACATGATAAAAATATGAATTTTGGCAACTGTATGAAACAACATTTCATAAATTATCCACAATTTTTAACTACCCAATAGTGTTTTTTTTCAAAAACTTAAAAAAATTTAAGTTGAGATAGTTCTCGAAACGAGGGTACAAATAATATTGAAGCTGTTTGACTATTATCTTCCAATATTTGGTAAATTTCAGAATTCACTATCATTCAAACATACAAAAATTAATTCTTATGAAGAAATATTATATATCTAACTAACAATAAGTGACCTAATATTCAGTGTTCTTGTTGAAGTTTTTTAGTTTATTTTTTTCATTGAACTATATCAAGCTTGAAAACTAATAAGTTAAACAGAAATTCCAAACATCATTTTTACGACTAATACTGATAAAAAAAATCAGTCAGATCGAAACTAATTTGGAAATATCATTTTGCAACTACATGGGTATTTTATATTTATCAATTTCACCGTAGAAACATTTATCGATTTTTAATTTTCCGTAAAATAAATCGACAAATTATAGAAATGGTTTACTTTTGAATGAATCAACTTTAAAAACAACCGAATAGTTAGTATGAGATTTTAATTAGTAGTTCCAGGTTCTATACTGGGCAGAGCAACCTGATGTCGAGCAGTAGTGACATAGGTTTTTACTTGGAAATATAGATAGCAATATGTTGTCAAGTAAAAATAACCCTTTGTCGGCTGCACCAATAAAAAATTCATCACTATTACAGAAATTTAGTTTGTATTGTTCAAATAATAATAAACAAAAACTACCAAATTAGAAGTGTTTGAAGATAAATATTTGTTTGCAAGTCAGGCACTAAAATAAACAACTCCTACATGTCATAATTCTGAAAGTTGTTATTCACAACTCATATAAATTTATTGTTTTAAGCAAGAGCATCATTCTGAAAATATTGTCCTCAATAATTTATATAAATGCCTGGATTATCGTTGTTCCCAACAACAAATACATGTGCCAATATTTCAGCATTGTTATAGCAGAACTATTACTATTTTATAAATTAGATCCAGAGAGAATTCGCTCGTTATTTTCCAGAAGCCTGACTTTAATGACCCGTTTGCGTTGTTATAGGCGAGGCAATCGACTGGATATATATTCCAATAGTTTGATTTCGGATTAATACACACCACGCTTGGTCAATGAGGAAATAATGATCGATATCAAATCATTTTAATCATCCAATATTGTTATTAAATCATATGTATGCTTCTGAAGTTGAATTTGCTCCAGGAAATTATAATTAGTTGCTATGTGTAGAGGGAAGTCCCCGAGTGGCGGACACGTAAGGTTATTTATAAATAAATCAAAAAATGTTTTACGAAATGTTAATTAAATTATGACTAATGTTAGATAACAAAGGTAGAAATCAAACCAAATTAACAAAAACGTAACTTTTGCTGAAAAATAATTAATACTATCAATCAAACTTTGGTAACAAAAAATATGATTTTAAAAAGTGGCACCTAGTACCGGACAATTCAAATTAACCCGCATTGAACACATATGTAGCCATCTCCACACTCTGGCATGTCTGCACATGTGTGTTTGACGAATATTCTTAGATATTTCAAAAAAAATCACTATTCATCCACCATTGTGGCTGGGCCGCACCGATGCTCTCAGCTAAAGCATTCATCATAAGCGTTTCATTCTTTGACTAGAAAAAACGAAAAATGGGGTTATGTAGTGACCGTTAGCACTCATACGGAACAAAATTAAATAATTAGAATAAATTACGTCAATTCTCACAAGAAATATCAATGTTTACTGTTTGAAATAAGAAGATTTATACTCACTTAAATAATACGTGTTAAATAGAGTGTCCGGCGCTAGGTGCCGTCCGCCGTTACGGGACTTACCCTTATGTGGAGGCTTGGCTTTATGGAAGGTTGTATGAAGTTACCTATATCGAGTTAGGCAATAACAAGAAGTTTTAAAAAAGTGTTACAAAAATTTCTTTTTATTGTTAACTGCGAAAAAATGGCATGATTGGATTTAATAAAATGTAATCAACGCAATGCCGAATTGGTGCTTTTCAAACAAACCTTGAATTTATTCAATATTCGATCAAGATTTTCTAAAAGACGCGGTATTTAATTAGAAAGCGTATTCTTTCTAAATATTTTATTAATATTAATAATTAATAATGATGAAACCAATAAAACTAATTTAAAAATTATTAATTTCAGGTAAATGTGGACGTGTACTACGAGTCTTTGTGCCCTGACAGCAAAAAATTCATCAACACCCAACTTTATCCATCTCTTCAGAACTCACTCAAGAACAGCGTACGCTTGAACTTAATTCCTTATGGAAAATCTACGGTAAGCTCCAATTAATATACGAATAATAAATTTTTAAATAAACTATTTATATCCTTGTAATGCCAATGGTATTTTAAGACATAGCAAAATTTATTTACTATCATGAATAAAAATATATTATGATGTTTCCAGCACCAGACGCGCGGATCAGACGTAGAATTCGAATGTCATCATGGTCCAAATGAATGCTACGGTAACAAAGTACATGCCTGTGCTCTAAACCACATCCAGGTGGATTCTTTCCAACAAAGACACACAAGAGAATCTTTGATCCTCACCTATATCAACTGTCTGATGGAGAATTCTAATCTCAACCCCAGCAACCTCTTCCCAACTCAAATGGTAAGATTGCATTTGAAATTGTAAAATTTATAATTATAAGTTACAAGATCGAACGCAATTGATAACACAGAATTAGAAGGTCGTGGATGTCTTCGTAATCTTTTTATAAATCCATACACGCTATTAAAACACGATCAAAAATAAATTAAATCTATTGGATTTTATACAAAGAGCATAATCGTGAGCAACATAATAAATACAACAAATATTCAAGAAAGAATGAAAATATACAAGAATGCAGATGTACGTAATCCTGCAAATAACAAAATATTGATTTTTCATTTTAATGAGGTGATCGGAGATTTGATGGCAACATTTCTAATGAGCATCAATCCAATAAATAAAGCAAGAATTTATTTATAAAAACATGAAATTTAGCTGCAGCATCATATTGCTACGCTATTGCTACGCGATAGTATTTTTAATGTGAAAGGATTAAAAAAGTTGAAAAGTAAAAAGCATTCCGTTAAATGAAACTCTGAAGTAATAAACGGCGAACCCGAAAAGCTTCTTTTTTATTAGGCTGTAGAATTTTTTTAGTAACATTATTGATTCTCTAAATCTAATTTATAATAAGTAAACTCCGGGTAACCCAATATAGTATAAAAGAGCATTAAATTAACTAATTTTTTTCTAACTGAGATAAAGAAAAACAACATTTCATTTTAAATAAATGAAATGCTAAAACTTCTGTTTAAAATTTTTGTAATCTTTCTATAAATGCGTACTCAGTCTCAAAACACGTTCAAAAATAAATTGCATTTTTTGGATCAATTTTATAAAAAGAGCATAATCGTGAGCAACATAATAAATACAAAAAATATTCAAGAAAAAAATTATAATATGATCGGAGATGTATGTATACTATTTTTTTTTACAAAATTAGTAATCCTTAAATTCTAACGAGTTCATCGGAGATTCGATGGCAGCATCTCTAATAAGCATCAATCCAATAAATAGAGTAAAAACTGATTTATAAAAACATAAAATTTAGCTGCGACATTATATTGCTACGCGATAGTATACAAATTTTTAATAAAAAAGGAAAATGTATTATTAAAAAGTTAAGAGAAGTAAAAAGCATTCCATAAAATAAAACTCCGAAGAAATCAACGGCAAACACAGATAGCTTCTTTTTTATTATGTTGTTAATTTTTTTTAGTAAAATTATTGATTCTCTAAATATAATTTACAATAAGTAACTCCGGGTAACAATATAGTATAAAAGAGCTAATTAATTTTCCCACAAAAAATTCAATGACATCGTGCATTAAATTAACTATTATTTTTCAAACTGTTATCAAGAAAAACAACTTTTCATTTTATATTTAAAATGTAGATTATTGTTATTCGGATAGTAAATATGTAAAATTTCTGTTCAAAAATTTCAATATAAATTTGGAATATATAAATATTTTAAAAAGAACTCATCAACTGGACAAGTAAATTTATAACAAATTAGCAAAAAATGTTAGATCGTTTACCGAGTATGTAGTTATTAATTAACGTATTCTAATGTATGAAACTATTGATATCGAAAATAGTACTATTATAAAGTGGACTTTGCTCTTGGCACAATTGGCATAAGGACTACCAGATACAATTTCGTAATAGTGAAGACCACCAGTTTCAAGACGTTTGGATATAATATATTCCGAACACATGGCATAAAATTTCGATATATCTCCATCGTATTTGAAACTGAATTTTACAATATAGCAAGGCACGTCGTCCACTTGACGTAATCGAGCCAGGTCTGTTTTTTCAAAGTTGCTAAATGTATTAGTTATGCGATCATGTCGGTAAACGGATGTCTCGTACGAATGAAGAGAACCACACGACGTCCTCGATATACCGCGAGGCCGGATTATCGCGGGATACATAATTAAATGAAATAAATATTAATATATACATACATATGTTGCATACCTTTTATAAAATGCATTTAACGTATTAGGAATTCAAGTTAAAATCGACAAACAATGAGTGATGCAGAATGCTTGGCTAATGCAAAACAACCGAACTACTATGCACAGTTTAAATTCGTAGAGCATAATTTGATAGAAGAAATAACACTGCGTGACAAAAATACCACTTTTTTTTCCTCCACTTAGAATTATACGCTGATTTCAAATATACCTTCTGTTTTTCCACAACAGCTCCTGTTTTTGAGTTTTGGGGAACTACCCGCGTTAGTCATTTTGGCTGTCACAGTTTAACGAATAACCAAGTGTTCTATCTGCTGTTTTAGTATGGCTCTGACTCTAAGATGTGTACATAATCCAGATAGTTTTTGATCTGTGGTAAATATGATTTTGACAAATACCGAAATCCTATGCCAAAGTGCATAAAAACAGCGTATTTCAAACACTTCCGTGATTGCTTTAATTCCGCAATCTATGATAAAACATGGCTTCTTCATACAACGTGCCAAAATTGCGTAGTGTGTTTACTTTATTATCCGAAAGTAATAAAGAAATGCTATAATTTTAATACCGTCGTAATTTACAAAAAAACTCAATCACCACGACAACTGTTTCTTCTGTGTGGTAAATATCGATAGAATAAATTCAGGCAAAACATCAGGACTTTAGAGAAGCGATATTAAGGGAGGTGGGACGTCCACATGATTGCTGATAAATGTTGGAGCTTACGAAATCAGACAGGCCTTGTGCATGCTCAAAAATTATATAAAAAGACTTTTGAGCATAAAATAAAATTTGTTATTTTTCATTGTAATTTGACATTAAACTAGCCCATTAGTATATCTCGAAAACTGGAGCTGTTAGCAAACTTCTGTTACTTTTTTCGGAATCAGCGTTGAATTACTTACAAACCATCATAACATTCCAAAAAAAATTACTCTCACGCAGTTCAATTAATAATAAATTATTATTGTTATTAATTTGTGATTAATAAATAGCCAAAGCCAATAATATAGATAAAATAGAAATATAAACATTGGCTTCCATATAAATTTCGGCTCCCCCGTAGATGGTTAGAACTGTAAGATTTCAACCCCAAGTTTGAGACCCGCTTCGAGCAATCTGATATCAAGCAGTAGTGGCATCTTTTTTCGCTAGGAAATATAGATAGCAATAGGTTTTTAAGTAAAAATAGCCCTTGCCCGGCATTGCTGTATTAAGAAAAAAATCATCACTATTACAGAAATTGTAAAAAAGGTCTAAATTTGAATACAGATTACAGCAAATCTCTAAGTTAATCATGTTATCCACCAATTTCAGTGAAAAGATTTATCGTTTTTTTTTGAAAATTGTTTGAAAATATTCTAATATAATGCATACGTAACGAATGTTGTATGCAAAATACGAATATAATAAAAGTATAGTAAATTAATTACACGGTTCAATCGCTAAATTTAATATTGGTGTATGACGTTACTAATTAAAACCATCCACCACCAGTAATTATTGGAAGATTTTTAGCAGAATTATAATTTAGATTAACGAATGTTCACTTGAAATTTTTCAGCAACAAAGAAACGCATCACCCTTGTATTTTATCAGCAAAAAATCAACTGCATTAAATATACTTTAAACAAAAATTCGTAGTGCAATAACATTGATACATAATTGGTTAAATAAAAAAACATGATCACAGATATTATGATAAAGGTGGCAAAGTAATATTAAATTAGAACCAATAAATTTATTTTTTGCATTATTCCTGAATATATTATAAAAATTTCAACGTGATGACTGTCATATTTCATATACCGGCAATATCCTATAAGACTTTGCATTTTAACTATTAATATATAATCATTTATTTAATACACGAACGCATATTATCGATAATAATGAAACCAATACTTATTAGTAATACTTGACTGCCCATTGTACGATAACATTTAATGTATTACGGATGTATTTCTACCACTATAATAACTACTGAATGGTTTCAATTATTTTTTTTATAATTAATGTTCAATCAATGCCGGAAGCTCATTACTCAATTACTTCTAGCGTAGTGCAAAATATATTATGATCTTATCGCATTCGGAAAAAGTATAAGGATAGCTTAATCTAAAATTAAGAAATATATTTCATTATTATGTTTCATTTCAACAGTGTGCCCAGAAACATCAAGTCCAACAATACGAAGCAATTGTAAACTGCGCCAATGGAACAGAAGGAAGTTCTCTACTTGCCTCCTTTGGTGAAAAAACACACAAACTGAGCCCACCATTGACTTCAGTGCCAACTATTGTTTTCAATTCGGTAAGAAAATAGACAATATTAATATAATTGTAGAATAGAAGAAAAGATATTTCGTTAACATCAGCTTTGCAAACGATATTTGGTATATATAAATGCGTATATTTTCAATTTTAGAAATCAAGTAGAAATCGGGTACGGTTGCGAATGTAAACAAAATTGAAATGAAATACCCCGTCAAAATTCTTATTTTTACACCATTTTTTTTATCAAGAAGCCGTTTTTAGCTCCGAATTAGCAACCACTGGTTACTCTTCGAGCAACTTGATATCAAGCAGTTATGATATCAGATTTTTAATTGAAATTATAGATCTAAAACATGGATTCACAATGAAAAAAGCCAAACAAATACTAATCGAGTATGTTAAAATTATGTCACAACTAGATAAGACAACTATATAACAAAACAATTGTTTGCCCCGTATCTTCGGAACGGCTAACCCTGCCTTCGCCAAAAACAAATCAGTCGTCTCCTTATCAATACGAATCAAATGTTTTTTGAACTATTCAAATCGGTTGATCGGTGTTCCCGAAATCGTCGACAAAAATTTGTATCCGCACCCACACACATCCATTTTTTCTAAAGTATGCCAAAATATTCAGAAACCTTTGAAACGTAAAGATATATAAAATTTCATTTGCGATTACTAAAACTTACTCTACGGGCAGTTGAAAATGTTAACTACAACATCGCATACCATATATTTTTTGTTATTACACAGGTCTACAAAATAAAAAAAACAGTTTTTTTCCGATGTATTCTTTACCACTGAACACGAAGTAAAAATAAAAATTATAAAATATCAGGTCTAGAAATTTTCTACATGACAATTAAAATCTCATAATTTCTGTCGGTTGCAATTTCCTTCGGTACAAATGACATACAAATCGCCTAAAATTGATAAAACACATTTCTCTACGAATGGCGTCCAAGAATTTTTAAATAACATGTCAAGATTTTTTAAAATCATTATTAATAAAACTATGTGTTCAAAAATTAACTAATCACACTTCTAACAACCGAAAAATAACAATAATACATTAGAATTCTCAATAACTTAACGCAAAGTGATAAATATTGACACACTGGATGTCGACTATAGGCGATACTCGCACACACTGGTTGTCATGCGGATGTCTGCTATAGGCGACGCTCATTGTGAAAGGGTTGATCAACTAATATTATGAAAAAATATTTAATTTCTTAATGCTATATTTCTAATTTTACAGCAATACGATCGCAACTTACAATCCTTGGCAGAGTCTAACTTCGTTATGGCCGTTTGCAAGAATTTGGAATGCCACGTCCACAAGAATGCCCTCAAATCAACTCGGCTCCCATCAACACGGTAGCTACTCTCACCGCCGTTTTGATCTCCGTGGCCGCGGTGGTTATGCTCTAAGCAAATAACACTACAATTTAAATAGTTTCAACCATCGTAATTAGTTCTGTTTTAATAAATGAATGTTTGGTCATTTTTTTGAAGTCCTAGATCATAATTTAAAAATTAACATGAAAATTTCAAGATTTTAGATGTTTATAAATTATATATGTATACATTTAATTTTAGCAGATTACTGTTATTTAAGTAAAATTAGCAAAAGTATTATTACTTATTATTGTGTTATTGCGAAACGTAGCCATGTATATTTTTTACTTTTTATAGTCCGTAAGATACCAGAAACATATGTACTTTAAGTTTACTTACATTTAAAATAAAATATGTGTAAACATTTCATCTGCATTTCACTTATGACCTTAATTGTAAACTCAGCAATGTTATGATTTTGCCGCCCTTAGAACTAACTTGTCGAGCTAAAAAATATCTGCTCTGGTTTAGTAGGAAAGGTATTTTTACTAGGTGTAAGTGGCATTTGGCTTGAGGTAAGTTGCAAAAACTTTCCGATATGTATAAATGGTTGACTTAATCAATAATAATTAAGATTGAGCTCTTCAGATAAAATTTTCAACTGTTTATTTCGAAAATGAAGTTCTAATCACAGTGCGATTTTAAATAAATTGATGTTTCAAACTAACGTGTAAAATCAGTAATTGAATTAATTATTGCGCACCAAAACGAGCTTGTAAGTTCTAAAAACGCGGCCTTTTAATGAATTTTTATAATTCAACGACTTTTCTTAGGACTATAATACTTTGGGATACTCGATTAGACCACGAACTTTATCGTCACTGTAAGTTTCATTAAAAATGCAAACAAACATGATCTCAATTAACGAAGAAACGACCTGGCCTACTAATATCTTTCCAACGTTTTTAAATTAACAAAATAGGTTCGGAATTTTTGACAAAAACTTGGACAAAACATTTTGCACTTTTCTGCTTATCCTAAAGAAACGGCTCCGCCGATCGTCTCGAAAAACTAACCAACGCTAGTCCTTATCGAGTTACATCGAATCGCATTATTATTATTATTATTTCGAATCGCATTATTATTATTATTTTATTCGTTTCGGGGGCTAGAAAAAAAATCAAACATGCAGGACTAGTTTCATCCATTATCATATCAAATCTTGTTAGTCACATAAGTTTTGACGCCAAGAAAGTTGAATGAAACAATTCGCTCAATATAATGTATTTATTCAATATGAATCAACTCCATAAAATTATCATATTCTGTAATGATACTTTGCTACGATTTGTTCACACATTTTCAATTATCTTGTATAAATTCTATTATAAATATACTGCATGACTATGTTCCTTATAGTTCTGTAATATCATTCAACAAAATAAGAACAAACTTAAAAAATCTACTAATAATATTTTGTAATATATAACGACTATGAGATGTGTTGAAAAAAAATATCAACTGTTCTTGTAACATATATCACACATGTAAAATATTCATCTTGGAAGAGTTATAAAAACATTTAAATGATCACAACATAAAATCTGAACCTATATGTGGCAAGATTAAACAAAGAATTTATTAACAAATCTATAAAAAAAATATATAAAATTTAAATTTAATCAAATCAGCTACCAAGGTAGAAAATAACCAATTTCACGGCAATGCCAATATTTTTTAATACATAAGACTGATTTTGATATAATATTCGGGTACGGTTGCGATAAGCCATATTCAAGAGTCGCTCTCGTTCGCAGTAAAAGCGAGTTAAAAATTTCAGCAGTAAAACGTCAGTATTAACCTTTAACCTATTTCCATAAATATCTAGAAGGCATCAAAGAATTAATTGCCGGCGCTTTTAATAAGATATAATCAAATAGTAATACAACACAAAAATAATTAGAATATAAAGAAAGTGTTGAACTGTAATAAGCATTTTACGAAATACCAAATAAATCCTTTTAATAGCATTTGTGTGAGAACGACCCAATACTAGTGTTAACTGTAGAATATATTAACCAGCATTTTAAAATGCATTAGAAATTATAAGATACCTAAACTTGTTTGAGGCATAATTATATATATAAGTATGTTTGTATAAAACTATAATTCATAAATTTATACTATAAAATGCATCGCATATATCTTTTCCTAACTATTAAGTTTTTTGTAAAATTGCTTTATATTATTTGAAACGTCAAGTAAAAGTTCTCACATGTCTAATTTAGAAAAAGATAATGGAAGTCACCCACGACAATATTTTCATCACAACAAAGAATACGTAAAAATATTAATAAAACATTCATTAAAAAAAAACAATATACTACTTGGGGTACACCGCAAAAAAATATGGATTGTAATCGCGGGGTAGTATTATATAAAGTACGTATGAGAAGTTCAAAGGCTATAGAATGCGACGGGGAATAATCTTTGACAAATATCGTCGTACAGACCCCTGAGATATTTCGCAACTTATAGTAAAAACAAATTTTATACCTATGAACAGACCACTAATCTATAGTAGTTAATAAACACTTGTACTCTTTTTTTTTAACTTATTCCATAATTGTAGTAATCTAATTTTACATAACAAACTAAACCAAAGTATCAATTTCCTCGGCAGAACTATCAGACAGTGACGAACTAGTTACAGTTTTCGGAGCAGAAACTTTAGTATCGCTCTTTATAAGAGAGCAAGGATTTGTATAAGGACCTAATTTCATCTTACGAAACTCACGTCGCTGCTTACGCTCTTGCATAATTAACTTTAATTGCTGAACTTTACATTTGGTCATGTAATTTTCTTTTGACAAAATACGAGGTGGATAATATATGTTGCTGGCAGGTAAAGCGTATTCATCACGTCGGGGCGGAGGAGCGCATCTTTTCAAGCAACGGTTCGGAGAAATACTAGTAGACGAATAATGACCGTCACACTCTCCATAATTGCACAATGAGGTAGGTGTCTGCGTACTGCTGCTGCTTTCATCGTTGGATGTACTCGTATTTGTGCTAGAACTTTCTTCAGTTGAATCAGAGACATCCAGCGATGTTTTCGAAACTGAAGTAGAAGGTGCCTGAAATTGATTATTATAAGTAGGCAGCAAAGTCATATATACCTACTACTATTTGCTGTATAGTAAACCAAATATAACTACGAATTCTTTGTACAGTGGTACTCCGACTTACCATGTAGTCCATGTCTCTTGAATAAAAGCGAGAAATTATTGAAAAATATGAGGTTTTGCAAAGAAGTACAAGTGCAACACATCATAGATATGTATGTACTATATTTAAACAGAAAGAGGTAATAAGGAGTGTAACTCCAGTTAAGGGCCTTACAATAATTTATCAGCTACTATCTAAGCTTTGAAAGTTTGTGGATAAAAATCGAAACATGTCTAACTCATTTCCCCAATATCATGAAAGGACATGAATAAACAATAATTAAATTAATGAATAGTAAATTTATTTTTGATATTCAAGAGACTTAACAAAAACCACAGTTCTGGACCAAATTTCAATTACAGTGGTACCACGCCTTACGAGCAACTCGTCATACCAGATTCTCGAGACACGAGCCGTTTCACTATATTTTTCGAGAATATATATTAGATCATACCAATAAATGTTTTATTTCTTTTTATTGTTAAAAAAAACATTGTCCTGGAACGAATTAATGACATTTCTATGTATTTATATGGAAAAAGTTTATCCGATACATGAGAAATTCGATAAGCGAGCGTGATTAGGGAAGGCATTAAGCTCGTAAGGCGGGGGTGCCTGTATATTTATATGGAAAAAATGCCTTCCAGATACGAGCATATGTCTCGTATGTCACGGTACCACTGCACTTGAAACTTTAAACACATATGTACAAACGCCATCCATACATAACAAGATATTGGTTATCAAGCTTTCTTTGATTTTTTAACATTTTTGTGCAAACTGCCTATTTGCGCAGTAAGATGTTCCTGACAACGCACAGTGCCCCACCCAAATGGTTGCATCCCATTTGATTCATACAGCAGAATCAATAAATAAATGAAAATTGCCAACAGTAACAGGTTATTACATCAAGGGTTAGCTTATACATAATGAAAACTATACATTAAAAATGCCATTCCATGGAAACAAGCATAAAACTACACAAACAATAATTATTTTCAATATGAGAAACACAACAAAGTCTATTTAAAATGTGAAAATCGCTGCAGTGAATTTTATTTCTATGGTTAAACTATCATAAACTATAATTATGCGATTACTGCCTTTGTAACCACAAGGTAGCGTGTTCAAACAAGTTTTGCGGCAACCAGATATCAGGTTGTAGTAATATCTATCACTTAAACACATTTTTATTTAAAAATATGTCCTTTTCGGTATAATGTTCATAATCAAAATCAATTTTATAAAATTCCAATGTAAACCATTGTGTAAATCGGCATATAAAATTAATAAAAAGTACAATGCAAAAACTACCTTTGCAAAGCCACAAAATTAGACATGATTAATTACCTGTTTTGGAGAAATTCGAGGAGTCGCAGTTAAATTTGTAGGTTCAAAAGATATTCTAGCCTCCTGTTTATATTGAGGTGATGAACATAAAAGATCATTAAGAATATGGATTATTGTAGTGACATCACGCTTGGGGCGGCCAAATTTATCTTGTAATGCAGGATTGAGTGTCCCAGAAAACGTTCCCGAATATATTCCTTTTCCATGATGCTTCATAGAATCTATAACTGCTGCTCCTGATTTTCTCGAACACTCTGTCACATCTTTGTTGCTGGTCAGAACATCTTTAGACAATTTCTTTAAGGTTTTTGTTAAATTTCTGGAAGCTTCAGCTAGTGAATTCATAGAATTCTCATTACGCGAACTAGATGGAGTAGTTTGTTTAAGAGTATTTTTTCGTCCATTATCTGATTTGACCACCATCAAATTTTTGGGTTTAATTTTATTCTTCGTTACATTCCTTCC